AATACCACCCCGGGCCGATGGGGGTGGACCCAGAAGAAGAATTAGCCAATGCTAACATATAGCGTTGGCAGACCTCTCAAAAACGTATTTACAAGATGGACCAAAAGTTGGCTCTTGGCCCAAAGCTCCGTTCCACATGTGTGTTAATGCTGAGGGGGGTGATTTTTTTTGGTCCAGTCTAGTTTACTCGTTGTGAATCTTTGAAGTGTCTCGCTCAAATGAATGGAGTTGGGCCGGCTGACGCATGCGCAGATGCGTTTTTTCGCAATTTTCATGTGGGCGGGACCACTCGCGGCCATTTTGGATCCCGCCCATTTTCACAGCGACTAAACCAGAGTGGTCTAAAAAAATTCACTCCCCTCAGCATTGACACACATGTGGAACGGAGCTTTGGGCCAAGAGCCAACTTTTGGACCATCCTGTAAAGACGTTTTCGAGAGCCAAGAAGATGCTATATGTTAGCATTGGCTAATTCTTATTCCGGGTCCACCCCCATCGGCCCGGGGTGGTATTGCAAGCATGTCAGCGTACGTCATTTTGGCCACTTTTGAGCCGGGACCCGCCCCCACTGGTTAAAACATAGTTTTATTGTGCAGTACACTAATACATGTTTCTGTTTCCTTGAGTCTCACAGGTTTTTCGACCACCAGACTAAACTCATCTATGAAAATAATGAATAGAGAAATTACAAACAAACCCCCCCGTGTCTGCGTAGGTTTACTCCGAGTACTCCAGTTTCCCCTACCACTTAAAAACATGTGCAACAGTTCATGGTGAATGAATGAATGAGTGTGTGTTTGTGAGAGCGAATGTGGGACACCGGATGCAAATTAGCCCATGGCTGCAATCCGGAGTGATGTGTTCATTACCATGTACTGTCCCAACCAAATAAACAATAAATAAATGCCATGGGCCGACCTTATGACCAATCTACAGTATCCCAATAACTCTAGGCTTAAAGAGTTCCGTCAGGGTGACGGATTTCAAAATGAAATGGTTAATTTTAAAAATATACATTAATACATATGCGTGTGTATCTGATACATCTAGCCATATCTATATATGAATACAATTGTATTTATATGTGTATATATAAATAAAAAGTAATATAATCACAAGTGAGACTTGAATGTGCTGTGGCCAGCTACTTGAGCGCTCCGCAAATGAATCAAGACGCTGACCTCACGCGCAAATGAAGACACGGCCAAATAATCAATGTTAACACGGAGGTGAAAGTTTCTGGCAACTGCACGGAGCTTTTGAGAAAAGAGGAGAATGAAAATTGAATCCCGAACGGAGCAATGACAGCCAGCCAGCAGCCCCGCGGACCGGTACAAGCCATGGTACAAGCTGGGCGCGTTATTAGACAAAAGGTAGGCCATAATTAATTAACGTTAACCAAGCGCAATGCTACTTTATTAAACGGAATATACAAAACGGACTTTGCTGGGAATGGGGACAAACATGTCTTGGTGATAATGTCTTGGTTGCGATCCACATGCAAAACTCAGTGTGATAAAAAAGCCTATCAACAAGAGCGAATGGAAGAAATTTGCAGAAGAAAGGTGTGCTCTAGTGTGTTAGCACGTCTTACATTCATTTATCAAAGCTAGCCTAGCATGCACACAATCACAATCATGGATTCGTTGTTTATGAAAGAAGGAGCACAAGTTGCAATTGATAACGGAGTGAAAAATAAATGGAGGTGGGCATGGCTTGATGAGGTGGGAGACGATGGGATTCTGTTGCGGCCATAGTACAAAAAGACAAAGGTGGCCGGTGCTTGTGCGTACTTTGCCATACATTTTTTTTATACAGGAGCAATGGGAAAACAGTTTTGATTCTCCGCCAGCTCGAAACTGTGCACGAGGCAGCTGTTCGTGCTCTTTCCCACACTTCATCTTAACCTGGTACTACAGCGACAACTGAGACTAGGCTTGCCTGGCGGGCCGCGGCTGTGACCTAAGAGTCTGTGGCTTTATCCCAGAAAATGACCTGTCGTTCAGAATATCACAACCGCCGGTAGATTTAATTAAATCCTTTGCGGTTGATCAAAGTGCACTGTCAAGGTTGACCATTTCAAATTCATATGCGTCATAATTCTGCACACATGGTATGGCAGAACAATAAAAAGAAGAACTAGCCACCAAGTTGATAGGGAAACCTTTTTTTTTAAAACATTGACAAGTCCACAAACAAAAATGTGGACAGAATTTCAACTGTCCTTTGCGATATTTTGACGAGGACAGAGCCAAAGTGTTGACGCTCCATCTTGCCTCAAGAAAAGCCAATGTTGCGGATACAACTACTCTCACTAATAGTCTGTCAAAAAGTTGACAAGTTGCTTGATCCATTTGTTGTAATTTCACCTCAAAATACACCAGTTTAAATGTATATCTTTGAAGAATTAATTTGATCTGTTATTCATTATACAATAACATATTGTAAATAAAAATATAACTTGGTCCTGCATAATTGTGATTTACAACATGTGATAAATTTCCATGAGAACATTTTCAGTCAAATCTTTTGTTATTGCTTCAACCCCTGCTTTACTTAGTTACTCTCTAAAGAAAGTAACTTATTGTGTTACTGTTATTATCCACTACGGTCTATGCTAGCCACTAAAAGTTTTCAAACCGATAAGGCGCGTCAAAACCACAGACTGTAACTGACGTTGCATTGACACTGGACACAACAAATGGTCTGGTGCGAACGCCCCTTAATACTGAGAAACGGACACGTTTGGTTTTGACACAGCATGCTCCGAGGCAGTGTTTTGAAGCAGTTTGTCTCAAAGAGTGTCACACGCTCCGGAGCCTCAGCCATCGCTAAAAAGGAACATTGCAGCGGATCAAAAAATAAACAGCTTGATAAATGTCCGATAGTTAACGCGTTTCTTTTCCCCAGAAAAAGTTGTTTTGTTAGTGTAACATGTTCCAACACTCAACACTGATAGATTTATGCAATTTATGTAACTGCTTTAGAATCTATTCAAACAGAAATGGTTCGATCTGAACTGAGCCCTGCCTGATTGGTCACAAGGCAATAGTTTATATCTCAGTATTCTGATTTACACTTTGGACAATTAGTTATGTCGTTGGAGCTTATCAGCTGGTTCTGCTTGAGAAATCAGGACCAATCAGACTAGCTTATGCAAAGAGGTCTTCAAATTGTTGAAGCTCATGTTCAACAGTCTATTCGAGACTGGTTTTATATGGTTAAGTTTTTGTCATAACGAGCTATGTTCCAAAGCTTTACTTGAATTGGGTGGTTAAGCAAGGTTCAATTTCCCCCATGAAATGTTGATCCATGTAGGCCTTATTCGTTGTTTCAGCATCGTCACCAAAATCTGTTTCATCCTTATAGAGGCCACTAATATGGTGCTTTGCTATCATCTTTGCCGCACATCAGTCAATGAGTAGAACTTTTGAGTACAACATAAACCGTCCTGCAGGTTAGATAAATGATTGTAATTGATTTTTGATAAAGCAAAGCGTCCTCATGTGTCACATCATGACAGAATCATAATCAGCTCTTATTAGAAAGGTGAAGCTCCCAACTAAATATTCACATTAGATAAAGCATTTGGTCTAATAGAATTCGAAGTCCAAGAGTCACAATAGCTGTTGGGTAGGTTGTTTTGCTATTAGAACACATTAAATATACAACTGACACATCTTTGTCTGAACAGATTTGTCCTGGTTAATGCTTAGATGCTTGATGAAATTTTCTCCACAGTGAAACCCAGCACACGTCTTTTAGATCCAGTCCCCACTCATTATTTTGTATTCATTTTATGAATCTTCTAGAGAGAATTGATCATTTTTATTTAAATAATAAATAGCTATTTTCAGATTCAAGTGGTGTTTATTGATGTATCTAATAAACATCAGGTAAGACCCCTTATGAAGAAGAGCTATTTAGATGTGTATGGTTTAACAACTCCAGGGGAAGGACATTGAGCTGCTGGGCAGCTTCAAGTACCTGGGTGTTCACATTAACAATAAACTGGACTGGTTCCATAACACCAACAACCTCAGCCTCCTCAGAAGGTGGAGGCCAAAGCCGCTTCCACCTTCTGAGGAGGCTGAGGTCCTTCGGAGTGAGCAGGCCTCTGCTCAGGACCTTTTATGACTCTGTGGTAGCTTCTGCCATACACTACGCTGCCGCAGAAGCAGACTGAACAAGCTGGTCAGGAGGGCCAGCTCCACTCTGGGCTGCCCCCTGGACTCTATAGAGGAGGTGAGGGACAGGAGGGTGCTAGTCACCTCAATCATGGACAACACCTCCCACCCACTGCACAGGACTGTAGAGGAGCTGAGGAAGACTGACGCACCCTCAGTGCAAGAAGGAGCGCTACCAAAGGGCCTTCATTCCCACCGCTGTCGGATTGTACAATAAGTAGGGACTAGGGATGTAAATCTCCAGCACTGAGGCCGATTCGATACACTACCAGCGATTCGATACATTAACGATACACTGAAGTCCCTGTCGATACGATGCAATACGATTCAATCCTATTCACGATACGATGCGATTCAAAGATGATTTATTAATGATATAACTGATTTGCAACGGGATTCGGTTTGACATGATGTGATCCTATGAAGGTTATTTTGTGTTTTTATTATCAACACTTTTTTTTGCTTTTGAATTCTATTTCTGTGTCCAAAAATTAGATGTTTTAAAATTCAGTGTCCAAAAATTCATTGTTGAAAAAAATTCAGTGTCCAAAAATTTGTTGCATTTTTTTTTGCTGCAAATGTCATGCTGTGGAAGAAATCAGCCGGAGACGAAGAGCTGAGTCTCACTTATTTATTCCAAACACTAATCACACACAGGTGGCCACACTCCCCTCTTATCTTTTCCCCCCGGAACCCGCTCCTTCACAATAACACATTTGTGTGTGCGTTCACCAGCCACCACACAGGCCCCCCCAGAACACACAAATGAACACATTACTCTAACCCCACAAAACAAAACAAAAAAAGGTGCCACTAAGAAAATCTAACAGGCCGCCGGACCACTCTACCCCCCCGACTCCGCTTAACCGGTGTAGCCATCCGGGCAGGGACAGGCAGGGGCCCCACCCCCGGGGCAGGATTAGGCGGGCGGCCCCGCCGAGCAGGGCGGCCCAACTCCACATCCTCGTCCCGGAGCACATGAGCAGGCTTCAAGCGGCCCACCGTGACCCAATCCCGGCCAGCCCCGACCTCCACCACAAAATACTTGTCCCCTGTCTCCAGCACCCGGAACGGGCCATCGTAAGGCGCCCGCAAGGGAGAACAGTGTGCGTCATGACGTACAAAAACGTATCTGGCAGACATAAGGTCCTTAGGAACATAGGACTGAGGGATACAGTGGTGCACCGCAACTGGCCTGAAAGCTCCTGCCGGGGAAAAAGGCAGCGCCGGCACCCTCGGAACCAGGTCAGGGGCGGGATGCAGAAACTCCCCCGGGACCGTCAGCGTCTGTCCCAGCACCAACTCAGCAGAGGAGGAGCGCAGATCCTCCGTGGGGGCGGAACGTAAACCCAACAAACCCCACGGCAACCTGTCCACCCAGCTATTGTCCACAAGAGAGGCCCGGAGGGCACCTTTCATAGTCCTGTGAAACCTCTCGCATAACCCGTTAGCCTGCGGATGATATGCCGTGGTCCGGTGAAGTTTAACCCCCAAACTCCCAGCCACTGAAGTCCACAGCTCCGAGGTGAACTGGGGGCCCCTATCAGAAGTCAGGTCCAGAGGAACCCCAAATCGCGCCACCCACGAATAAATAAAAGCCCGGGCCACGTCTGCCGCAGTAGTAGACAACAGGGGCACCACCTCCGGCCATCGAGTGGTCCTGTCCACCATGGTCAGGAGGTGAGTGAACCCCCGGGAAGGGGGAAGAGGGCCCACCAAGTCCACATGGACATGTTCAAAACGTCTCTCAGGAACTGAAAAAGGACCCAAGGGAGCTTTCACGTGACGCTGCACCTTGGCCCTCTGGCAGGCCACGCATGTGGAAGCCCAAGTCTTAACGTCTTTTTTGAGGCCAGGCCACACGAACTTAGCACTCACCAACTTCACCGTCGCTTTCACACCGGGGTGAGACAGGGAGTGAACAGCCTCGAAAATGCGGGCGCGCCAGACCGCCGGTACCAAAGGACGTGGTCTGCTCATGGACATGTCACACAGAAGCGTCGCCCCGCTGTCCTGAAAAACCACATCTTCCAACCTCAAACTAGAATCAGTGGTGCGCAGCTCCTGCACCCCCGAATCCGCCAGCTGGTCCACCGCCATCTCTGCATAGTGAATGCCTAAATGGACCGTGGAAACCTGAGCCCGAGAGAGACAGTCCGCCACTGCATTGTCCTTTCCTGCAACATGTCGTATATCACAGGTAAACTCAGAAATAGCAAAAAGGTGCCTTTGTTGCCGCGCCGACCATGGTTCCGAGGTTTTGGCCATAGCAAATATAAGGGGCTTGTGATCCACATAAGCAGCAAACTCTCGGCCCTCCAGTAGAAATCTGAAGTGGCGTGTGGCAAGAAAAAGGGCCAAGAGCTCCCTGTCAAACGCACTGTACCTCCTCTCTGACTCCCGCAACCTTCTACTGAAAAAGGCTAGTGGCCGCCAGGCACCATCCGACCACTGCTCCACCACTGCCCCCACCGCGCAATCAGACGCATCGGTAGTAAGCGCAACCGGTGCAGTAGGATCGGGATGCGTTAACAGCGCAGCCTCCGCCAGTGCAGTTTTAGCCCGGTCAAACGCCAACACCCTTTCAGGGGACCACTCTACGACTTGGTTACCCCTCCTACCCCTCAAAGCGTCATACAAAGGGTGCATAAGGTGGGCGGCATGGGGAATGAAGCGGTTATAAAAGTTAATCATGCCCAAAAACTCCTGCAAAGGCTTCACAGAGGGGGGGCGGGGAAAAGCTAAAACTGCTTTGACCTTAGCAGGGAGTGGTACAGCACCCTGCCTCGAAACGCGGTGTCCCAGGAACTCAATTTCTGACAGTCCAAATTGGCACTTAACTGGATTCACGATCAACCCGTGCTCAGTGAGCCGCTCGAAAAGGAGGCGGAGGTGTAAGCTGTGCTCCTCAACGGAAGGACTCGCCACCAGTATATCGTCCAGATACACGAATATGAAGGGCATGTCACGCAAAACCGAGTCCATCAACCGCTGAAAAGTCTGTGCTGCCCCCTTCAGGCCAAATGGCATTCTCAAAAACCCGAAAAGGCCAAAAGGCGTAATAATCGCTGTCTTAAGGACATCTCGCGGGTGGACTGGCACCTGGTGGTAACCTCTAACCAAATCCACCTTCGAAAACACGACAGCCCCCGCCAGGTGCCCAGAAAAATCCTGAATGTGGGGGACCGGGTACCTGTCGTTAGTCGTGGCGTTGTTAAGGCGACGGAAATCTCCACACGGGCGCCAACCACCGTCTGATTTGGGAACCATGTGCAAAGGCGAAGCCCACGGGCTGTCTGAACGGCGCACGATTCCAAGCCTCTCCATGTTGGCAAACTCCTTTTTAGCAATCAACAACCTTGCCGTATCCAAACGGCGCGCCCGAGCGAAAACCGGCGGGCCCACGGTAGTGATGTAATGCTCCACCCCGTGCTTAGCTACCGCCGCAGAAAATGTGGGAACCGTAAGGGCAGGAAACTCCGCTAACAGACGCTGGTACACGTCCCCAACGGCCAGCATGTTAGCCAGAATGCGCCCAGCTTTCCTCAGCGTACATGGATAGGAACTAAAAGACACGGCATCAATCAAACACCTGTTAGACACATCCACTAATAGCCTGAATGCACATAAAAAATCTGCACCCAGGATAGGAACTGACACCGAAGCAATCACAAAGTCCCAGCTAAATTCACGGCCATTAAAACACACTGTCAAAAACCTGGTGCCAAAGGTGCGGATGGAAGTCCCGTTAGCTGCATCCAGCGGAGGGCCCCGTCCTTTCCCAGTAGCGTCGGCCGTGGAGGGGGGTACGATGCTGTGTTGCGCTCCCGAATCCACAAGAAAACGACGTCCTGAAGCCCCATCCTCAATGAAAAGCAGCCTGTCCTGGTCACCGGTGCAAGCAGCCGCTAGCGAGCGCCGGCCCTCTCGTTTCCCGACTGCTGGAAAGAGCACGGTGGGATGCAACGGCGAGCCTTGGTTCCAAAGCGGCGGTGGTAGAAACAGAGGCTTCCCTTCTTGTCTTGTCGATCCGTCACAGCCGTCACGTGCACGCAGGCATCCTCCTCACACGCATCCGGAGGCACCAGCGCATGCACCGAAAACTGCCTGGATGCCAGCAGAAGTTTGTCAGCCTCCTCCGCCAGCCGTCTGTAATCCTTAGTGCGGACCAGGTCCGAAGTGGCCAGGGCAGTACGCACAGGGGGCGGGAGCTGGCGCAGGAACAGATGAGTGAAAATAAATGAACTGTCCCCAGAGCCGAGTAACGCCAACATATTTTCCATCAGCTCAGATGGCTTGCAGTCTCCCAATCCGGAGAGCGATAACAGACGGTCAGCCCGCTCCATATCAGAGAGCTGGTATAACTGGAGCAATCCCCTCTTTAGCGCCTCGTACTTCCCCTCGTGAGGCGGGTCGCGGAGAAGCCCCATCATCCTCCGAGTAGTGGCCGAATCCAAGGCCGCAACGATATGATAATATCTCGTGATGTCCGTCGTTATGCCGCGTAGCTGAAACTGCGCTTCCACATGTTGAAACCACGGCTCTGGATCGTGCGTCCAAAACTCTGGCAGTTTCACCATAGCCGCGAATACAGCCGGCGGGGTGACGGCAGCGCCAGCATTATCTTGTGACATGCTTATAATGTCCAACTTCAGGGTCACCAATGTGGAAGAAATCAGCCGGAGACAAAGAGCTGAGTCTCACTTATTTATTCCAAACACTAATCACACACAGGTGGCCACACTCGCCTCTTATCTCTTCCCCCCCGGAACCCGCTCCTTCACAATAACACATTTGTGTGTGCATTCACCAGCCACCACAATGCTTTATTTCCGGGTAAATCAAGAACAAAGCAATCAATCAGACAATCCTCCATAGATGTAGCCAGGGCCAGAACACGACTTTGGCTTTATCCGAATGTCCGCACTATACCCCATTCACTCACTCACTACATAGTGCGGGACTATATAGTGACTGAGTGAGTGGACTCATTCTGATGACGATTCGGACGCTGCACACTATTATCAGGCCGTGCTGTTGTACGTGAGCGTCCCGCTGTAACGTGGATCACGGAGCGGAGAGAGGAGCGGCCATGATGAGGTAAAGGTAAATGTTGAATTTACGTTTTAATTAGGACATAACATTTAATTGTATTAACAATGGAGGTGGGAAATAGCCCCTTCTATTGTTATATCAGAGGTCTGTTTGGTGATTAGACAGATTTTCTCCAGCCTTGAGCTCCGGTGCTAACACGCTAACCACGGGTGTAGAGCTGCGCTGATGCCCAGAATGGAGCATCATGCGCTGGGAGTCATTTTGAGAGCTCCCTTATGCTAACAGTCTTAACTGTGGAAGTAATTATGAAAACTCAAAAAGGCGGCTTTTGTATCATACTTTCTGCTATAAAAAATTGTTTTAAGAGTAATCATTAGTCTTAAAAATGTGATATTTCATGTAAATAATGCATGTGTTTAGGATTGATGGATTTGCTATGGCCCTCGTTTGTGCATCACTTAGTTGTAAAGTAATTTGTATGAAGTACAAACATGATTATGTGCAGGGGGACATCTGTGAACATGAAGCTGGACACAGAAGACGCGTGGACTTGAACAGACCAGGTTTAAGGTCATGAGTACTTACTTTTTGAGCACAAGCTCCTTGCCTCTTGAAATCCAACAGACCTGATCATGTCAGAGTTAATGGCTTAAATGTATTTAAGATTAGAAGTAGTACTTAAATACAAGCTATGAAACATGTTTCTCACGGATTGTGTGGTTGGATAAAAAAACGCATACATCACTTTTCATTGCACACAAAGAACTAAATCATAATTATTTTATTTTATTCCAGGTTGTGATGAGTCCACCGTAGAAAAGACAGTCAGAGGCAGACGTCCAGGCACCTGCTGTTACTGCTGTTGTTACTGCTGCTGCTGCATATGTCTTCAGAAAATGAGAGATGTGTTCTAACTATCCATGACTTGTAATTAATAAAACAAATGAACATATTGATCGTTGTAGTTTATATCGTAATCCACAGAAGCTGGAGGTGATGGAAATGGATAAAGAAATGATGGCTTCTGGAAGACAGCTGCCTCTGGAAAAGAAATTCACACACAAAAATCATTAATTTAAACAGACCCGGTTCTTCTGGGATTAAAATGAGCCTTTTGTTACAATCAGACATGTCGACATATATGTTCATATACATGTACTGTCCCAGTCAAATGAATTAATATAAATACACAGTAGTAGAGTAGAAACAGACGCTCTGAGGAGGAGCAGAAGTACGATGCCTTTACAAACACACACATGAACTTAACATGTGATATCAACAGTAAATGTAAATACATTGCCAGTCTTTAACAGGAGGCTGGTAGAGTGGGATTTACAAATATACTCAATTAAAACCATATCTATCAGTCTGATTCCTCTCTGTAGCATTAATATTGAATCCGTGGGTTTGTTTTCTCCCTAAAGAATCGATCCTTCATTCCATCTTGGTTTCACTAAGATGTCAAAATTTAAGAGTAAAGATAGAATAATTATCGGAGGTCTAGATACATAAAAATGAACAACATAATTAACAACAACCCCTTAGCATGCTCTGTCTCTAAACAGTCAGCAGGTTTTGTCCTTGCTGCACTGCTAGAATAATATACACATTTAAATTGGGAACATGGTACATACGTCACACGAGAACCGCAAACCCCCATGTACTTGGCTTTCCTGCGGTTCATTTTAGCTTAGCATTAGCGAAGATTAGCTTTGGGGAATCGCCAAAACCTAGAATCCACCTACGCGGAGCTAGCTAATGATAAGCTAAGGTAAAAACATGTTCAGAAAGTACATAGTGGTTTGCGTGTTACATACCAATTAATGATGAGAAAACACACTTACTGGTTTGCTGTGGACGCCATGTTCAGATGAACAAGACAGTCGTGTTCTGGCCGTGGCTACATCTATGGAGGATTGGCTGATTGATTGCTACTGTCTTGATTTACCCGGAAATAAAGCATGACATTTCAAGCAGCAAAAAAAAATTTTTGGACACTGAATTTTTTTCAACATTGAATTTTTGGACACTGAATTTTAAAATATTGAATATTTTGACACTGAATTTTAAAACAATTAATTTTTGGACACTGAAATTTAAAACATTGAATTTATTTACGCTGATTACTTTTTTGTTACAGTTTATAGAATTCAAAAGCAAAAAAAAGTGCTGATAATAAAAACACAAAATAACCTTCATATGATCCTGTTCGATACAGTTAGTGTGAGAGTTTATTAGCCCACATCAGGTTTCTTACCTCAAATTCTGCTTTACTCTATCAATATGAGGGATGTATTTAATATGGAGCAAACCAAGTAATCCTATTTGAAAAAGAACATTATTCACTATGAACAGAGTATTTATTTGAATACTTCATTCTCTAAAACGCTGTAGGGCTGGATATCTTTGGAGATGAAGTAGACTAACTAACTGCTATACAGTAGCAGTAAATTTCTCCTGTGTGAGATTAATAAATAATCTTATCATAGCATTAGTTAAGGCCTGGGAGCAGGCAGAGTTAGCTGTTTGAGGCGTGTTTTGACCAAAGTTTGTGATAGACCAACTGCTCGCGTCGCCAACTTTGCTACCGCTCGGTGTGGCTGGTGCTTCGGTAGAATCCAAAGGAGAGGAGGGGGTAGCAGCCGCGGAGGTATCCACGCCGTGCCGTCTTCTCAGATTTCCAAGTCTGTGACCTCCTGTTACTTACGTGGCAATAAAAATGATTCTGATTCTGATTCTTATATCCGATGCATGAATGTATCCGTGTAGTTGTAATCTTCACATCCCTAGTAGGGACGTACCAAATCCAGATTTTTGGAGTTCGGCCGAATACCGAATCCACTGGTTAAGATTCTGCCGAAACCGAATCCTACTCCATCCTCAGTCCATTAATGTTTCATACGCAAATGTTTTAACAGCGGCGATGTTGTGTACTGTTTAGGGCGACAAATCGGCATTGCAAATTGAACATGTAG